TGATTGATAAAATAACAATAATCTTGCAGTTTCTATGTCTTTGTAAAATAATCTCAATGTGCCCAGTTGGGGTTATCTGTATAGCTTTCAAGGTTTAAGAGATGTATGCAGGAAATAACTGACCAAGATTGTCGTTTTTCTTTTGTCTTTTTAAACATATACTTGAATCTGCCTCCTTATTTCCTCAGCATTTTGTGGGGGAGGGCTCCCTTTGCACAGCATTAGACTTTGCAGAAAAAAATGTTTTTCTTTTGCCTAAACTGCTGGGATCAAACATTTTTCTTTTTTTTTTTTTTAACATAATCTGAACGTCACTTCTCTACTCTACAACTATTGAAATATCTTTAAAAAAAAATGAGCAAAAGTCTGGTTTGCCTCCAATTTAAGCCGTTTCTGGTCACTGTCATAACCGGAAAAGCTGTATTTACAGCATAGATTCCTATATCTCCCATCTTCCTCCTGACGCTGTCACTATCTTGATCTTTTTTTTGAAAAAAACAAAACCAAAAAAAAAAAAAATGAAGTAATTCTAAAAAAAGGTTTAATGTAATTTTTCTGTTTAGATAATTGTTACAGATTTATAACTTTGATGCCTTCTAGTATGCTTTTTTATTTGTCTTTCAATACACGACAGTTATACAGGTTTTCATGCCAGCCCTTTTTTGTACTCGGAAGCAAATGTGTCTATTTATGTTAAATTGGCTTGTGTCTTCTAAATAATGATCTGTGTGGTAAATGAAACTGAACATGATGGTATTCACTCATTCAATTAGTGTGCCACTATCTAGTACTGGTCTACATTTGTCCTATTATTCCCAAAGTATCAGTAGAGTCTGATACTCTATTAGTAGAGGTGCTGTGTGGTTTGAAAACTGTGCTCCTGACAGCAGCACAGTGGCTGCACAGTTTGGACCCTTTATCTCAGGCACACATATAGGTCAGTCAAAAACCAGCAGTGGGTTGTCCTCTGTATTCTACAAATTTGTTTTTCTCAAACTCAAATTGGATCTTTCTCCAAACATTGAATTCACCAAAACACCTGAAAACGACCAGTTTACTTAATGATAACACTCTTCTAGTGTGGAAGTTTTCACTAAAAGAAGAAAGCTAAAAGTTACCATTAGGATGGTTATATAGGCTATGTTCACACTGCAGCCTGAAGTGACCCAAATCTTTTTTTTTTTTGGCCCATATGCGACCTGGATCTGATCTTTTCACGACTGTCTGAACAACACAGATCCGATTTTTTTTTTTTTTTCAATGCGACCCAGGCCACTTGGCTATGTGGTCCTGAATCCGATACGAATCTGATCTTTTCAAATGCAACCTGTGTCTGTGTCGCATTCATCCAACCTGAACGCCATTAATACTTGAAAAAGGTCTCTATTGGGGGTCTGGCTATGAAGAAGCGGCAAAAGAAAAACAACAATAATGGCAGACGATGGTGCGGAGAGCAGTATTTATGTTTAACCATCTTAAAAGGTTGTGTTTTTATGGTTGGGAAAGATCACTAGATGCGCTCCATCACTACCATTACATTATTGCGTCCTCTACTGCGCATGGGGGAAACTTGCGTTGTATGAATGCAGTTCACACAAGAGATCACATACAAGTTGCATATATTTGGAAATGTGAACGGCAACGCAAAAAAAATCGGATTTCACAGAAAATCGGAATTGAGCATCAAGGCCTGTAGTGTTTACGTAGCCATAAAGTCAGATAAAACATACTTTTTTTAAGTATTTTTTTTTTTATTACATATTATTTGCTGAAAATTTTGCCATTTACAGTATATGTTCCTTCCCCAAATCCACAAACTGCCCCTTTCCCTCCGCTCTTTGTTCAGTCTGCCTCCCTTACAATTTGTAACCACCACCCCTTGTGTTTCCTCATGATTTCCTGAAACAGAGGAAGTTGGGTGCTTTCGTCTCCCCGGGTCAGAGAAACGCCCCCAGTAGCAGCTATAGACAGAAACCCCTTTTGTCTGTAGATGTGGTCATTTTCCTGTGTAAATGTGATGCCGTCTGGAAGCTGGAGAAGACTTAATAAATCCTGGCTGCAGAAAATGAAAGAGTGCTCTTGCTGAGTGTGTGGATGTCACTAAGAAGACAGCATTAATGACCCACTTTCAGTTCTCCTTCAGCCCTCTTCACGTATTGTCTTCTTACACACCCATATTTATTCAGCATGGTGGGGGTTTATTCTGCTAACATCATAGCAGAGTTTATCCCTGTGCCTGTTACTGTGCCCTTTGAGGCTCTGTGAGTGGCTCTTCAGCTCCCAAACATTGAAGTTCAAACGAGTTAGGAGACAATGGCAGTGGTTTACATGTAACTTGCAGTACACTGACCTCAGACATGTTCTGTAGTCTGTTTAAAGGACGAGGTTAACTCAACAAGGCTCACAATTTGAACATACATCTCTCATTTTTCAGCAGAAACACATCTCTTATATTAGCTCCATCTCTTATTTTCTATATCCTCTTTTGTATTTTAATGCCAGTTTTAAAAGTCCATTGTTACTGGTCTTTTCATTTTCTTCTTTCTGCTCTCAACCTTATTTTACGCCTATTGTCAGGCTTTCTTTAGTTATCAATGTCTTGACTTGTCTTTTTCTGTTTTGTAAAGGTGTTGACCTTTTCTGACCCTTCCTGTTTTACTGACATTAACTAACTCTTCCTACCCCACCCTAAGGCTGCTTTCAGGTTTGCTGTAAATTCTTCAGTGTCAGAATGTGGTCATCAATGGCGACAGTAGTGGGTGCAGGAGTTTCCCCTACAATTCCCCAGCTCTGGCTTTTGGTGTCGTTGTGTCCTTGGGCACGACACTTCATCTGCATTTCCTACTAGGAGTGGAACGGTTCACAAAATCTACGGTTCGGTTCACGGTTTCGCGGTCACGGTTTTCGGTTCGGTATATGTTGATTGTTAGCCTGACATGTTGGTCGTGTTGCTGTTAGCATGAACAAAACGTGTTGCACAATGCTTGCACACTGTTGCACTTTTATCCACAACTTTCTTTCCGCCGTCAGCGTAGGTCACTCTAAATGCAAAGTGGTCCCATACAGCAGACCCATAAAGTGCTGCTGGCCCGTCTTCCAACTCCTGTTCTTTCCCACTCGCCATACCCACACAATTTTCCACAACAACCGATTTTTTTTTCTGCTACACCCGGCAACGCTGCTTCGCTTCTTCTTCTTGTTTACTACTGGTGGTTGGCTTTGGTCGCAGTACCGCCACCTTCTGCTCTGGAGTGTACACGCTTCACCTATGAGAAAAAGGAGCAGCACATGAACCGAACGCAACATACGTGAACCAGCCGAGACAGTCGAATTGAACGGTTCGGATGGTTTTCATAAACCGTTCCATCCTTATTTCCTACTGATGGTGGTCAGAGGAACTGGTGGCACCAGTTTACAGCAGCCTAGCTTCTGTCAGTGAGGGAGTGGCGGTTTGGGGCATAGAGCTTGGAATCCTGAGATTATGAGTTCGAAACCCACTCCCACAGACTGCCACTTTGAGTCTCTAAGCAAGACCCTTAACCCCACACTGCTCCCCGGGCGCCCCACAATGGCAGCCCACTGCTCCCCAAGGGGAAGGGTTAAATGCAGAGGTAAATTTCTCCAATGTGAGATCAATAAAGTTCAATTATAACATGATGAGCCCCAGGACAGCTTGTGGCTACAATTTAGTTTGCCACCATCAGTGTAAATTGCTTTGGTGAAGACCTCGACTTGGAAAAAGCGCTATAAAAGTACTGGCCGTTTACTGTTTTACCATCAACATTATGGCCTCCCATGGCCATTTAAGACTTTAAAATAGGTAATTCATGCCTTTTTTATGGTGAGTTGTCCAGTCATATTCAGAGAATCCAAAAAGTGTTTGATTGCATGTTAATTAAAATATTTCGAACATTTGTCACATGCAAATGATTGTTTTATGCCTCAGTATCGAGTTTAAGTAAAGCTTAACCAGCTAAGTGCTGTTCCCTTAAAACTAACAGAATATTCAAACCTTTCTAAAAGAATAACATGACTGGACATAGGCTGGATTAAATGCAACACTGAGAACTAACAGAACAAGTACAGATACAAGATATTTCCATTATCCCATACATGACTGTAAACTGGACGTTATGGATTTCTTTCACCAATAGCTTCCTCCTTGCCATTCTTTCTTGAAGACTGAATTTTAAAAACACGGCTAACTGTAGCTCACTCGATTTGCTAATCTTTATCTTTCTGACAGATTCTTTCACTGTGGGGGGACAATTCAGGTGGGACATCCTTGCTTACCATTGGGCTCTCAGCTAGCCCATCATTTAGCCTTAGATGGTTTCGGTAGCATGAGAGTTCTATCGTAGCATTTCCATTTTTAAGATTTGTATTTGTACAACAATGTTAAAAAAACATATATATTATTCCCTTTTCCCCCACAATCACAAGCTGTGTTGCAAATGGTAGGATTATGAGGTTGAGTAGTTACCTCTGCAGTTATTATGCGAACAGACCGATCATTGAATTGTTTTGCTCATCATGACACGATGACCTACCGGTATGTGGGTTCGTAGATATATCCTGCTGAAGGCTTTATTTTTGCCCTGCCAGCTCTGGTGCGATCAGTAGATCTATAACGTTCTGCTGTGTTTGCAGAATTTATCGATTTACAAACCGCTGTTTACACAGCAGAGCCATGATGCAGCACTCTGTCAGCTAAAAGGTTACCTTTCTGTTCAGTTCCCTACATTACAAGGGAGACAGTTTAACACTGAAGCCAATTTAAGAATTTAACAAAAAATATGAAACGATGGTTATCCTCTTACAGCGTGGTTTCATGTTTAATTAAAATGTATTTTGTTAGAATCTAAATTGTAAAATTATATATTTTTTTACTGAACCTTAAGATACTTTGATTCATTACCTCTTATTACACTGTTGTTTTTAATCAGATTCCAATGGTGCTAAGGTTTTGGAGCTAAAGTTTTCCTTATCTGTATTTCCAGATCTTCCCATGGATAATAACCCTTCGGATCATCCCCGGGCCAGCACCATCTTTCTAAGCAAGTCACAGACAGATGGTAAGTTCATGTTTGCTGTCAATACAATAATCTATTTGGAGCAGGTTAGTGTTGCAGAATGGAAGGAAAGTGTTTTCCATGTAGCACTCTGCTCGGATGCCCAAATAAAACCCAGTTTGGTCATTTCAAATTCAAGCATGAAATCTTTTAAGTCAGATAAATTAAAGCATGTTATACTTACTCACTTTGTCATTGCTAATGTGGAAATGAAAAGTGGAAAGTCTAATGCTGCGTTCACACCGGACGCAGCAGGTGCAGCGAGTTTACATACAAAGTCAATGGTTGACGCGCGTCAAGGCGCAGCAAAATGTCCCGCAGCGCGTTTTTGAGCAGCAGGCGCAGCGCGTCTGAGCAGCTGAAGCAGCGCGTCGGGAGCGTTCAAGCATCTGACGCACTGCAAACGCGCAGCAGCTCGAGATGGAAAAATTGAACTTTTGCTGCACGACGCGCCGCATCAACCAATCAGAGACGCTGATCTGGGAGCTGGCAGAGAGACAGACACATCGCTGATGATACAGAGCGATATGATCTCTCCTCTGAAACAGTTTATTGAGACCTAAATTAACTTAAAATGCAGAAATCTGCCGACAGAATATGTTCGCTTTTATTATCCTGGTGCCTGAAGTTTAGAAATATTTAGATGAAAAACACCTACCAACCGCCGCGGTGAACCGCGAGGAGGCGACCCGGCCAGAGGCTGCTGTTGAAGGGATTCCTACTGACAGCGCACCGCTGGTATGTGGGGGTTTTAGCGGCTCCGACAGAAATAATATTGGAAGGCAGGATGGAAATCTGAATAAACTGACTGCACTGATGAAGTTTTCAGGTGGATTTTCTCACTTAAAAACATATTAAATCTACTTTATTCCCACGGATCACAGCAAATATAGCTGCAAGGCAGAGAAAGGATAGTGTAGCTCCACCCAACGCGCGTCAGACCCACTTTTTCACCGCGCAGCCAGAGCAGCAAAGCTGCTTCAGCCGCGTGTCAGAACTAAACTGGTACAAGCAGCAAAAATGAAGCAGCAGACGCGATTTTGCTGCTCTTTCTGCGTCCGGTGTGAACGTAGCATTATAGTCGTGAAAAAACGGTAATTATTTGTTGTTTGACCTCCTGCACACCATATTAAAACAAAAGAAAGAAAAAAATGTTTTGAAAAAGCAGCAGGGAGGCGCAAGGGGAACGCTAAAGAGCCGCATGCGGCTCCGGAGCCGCGGGTTGCCGACCCCTGGTTTAAGGGATCAATTGAACTCAAGTGTTCCAAAGCAGGAAAGCATCGAAGGATATTAAATCTTCAAAATCGTGACTCCAGAATGTGTGCTAGATACTGTAATGTTCAGCTGTTTTTAGATTTTCTTCCAGTTCAAATACAGCCTCTTTACATCGATTAAGCATTTTAATGCTCTTTAATTCCTTTGACCCTGGAGGAAAGCCATTTGAGCCTTGCAGGTGGTTGCGTACAGCTTGGATTATTGATTCCTCATAATGTGGTTAAACTCCACACTCTGCTATTAGCCATGATTACACTGTGGTGGGAAAATTTGCTGGTTATTTTTCACACATTATGATTTAAGACTGCGCCATCTAGGCATAATACATGTATTATGTCTTTATTTACTCTTTTGGATATTTTTATGAATTTTTTTCTGTGCTTTTTCTGTTAAAACCGCATCCTTAATGAACAACCCCGTGACGACCTTGTTATACGTGATCTTATTTTGTACTTGCTTGTAAATTTCTATAATGAGTAGAAGCTTGAAGCCAACTTGGACTTTTGTTTTTCAGTTTTGATGCCCAACAAGAGAGGTAAGCGATTCAGAGGGCTGCTAAACGCTCTGCTTACTGTCTGTCTGGGCTTGCCTCTGAAGAGAGCGGCTCCTTCCTGGTGTCTAAACTCTGTACTGCCTTTATTTGGCCGGTGTTGTCTTTTTTTTTATTGTTTTTTATGAATTGTCATGCTATCAATGTGAATTTAGCTGTGTGTGTCTCAAGTTAAGATGCTGCTTTCATTTTCTGTGCATATTTCTTCTGCTGCACATGTTGGTCCATGAGTGAAACTGTATGTAGAGCGAGCAATGCTTCCAAAAGCTAGATCAAAACTGTAACCTCATTTCTTTTTGTAAAATATGTCAACTAATATGCATCTGAATGTTGCTTTTGGCTTCAAACCGGTGGCACTTCTCTGTGAAATAGGGCATTTCTTGCATCCCTAGTTATCAGGGATAAGGAGGAAACTAGGGGTAGAAATGTGAGGCACCTCAGTACTTTTTTGTTTTTAATTCTGCTCCCCCATCTGCTGCTGTTTGCTTTTGCTAGCAGTTATTTTCCTCCTTTAGAGCTTTCTAATTCAAGGCAAATATATGTACAGTATTTCTGTCTCCCGTTCACATTTCTTTACTAACGTCATGGCAACATTTGGATCTAAAAACACTGTCAGAGCTGACTCTTTAGATGAAAAGAAAAAAAAAAAAGGTTAAAATATATGAATTCATTCAAACTTATGATGACTAACTATGACTCACAAATCTGTATATGAATATAAAGCTGGTTCAGGCGCCAATAGATGAGCAATAACTTCTTACACTTTGCATGTGTACTTATGGCTGAAAATGTCCTTAAAAAAAACTGCGGAGAAAGCTCATTTCAGCCGCTTGTATCCGGGATCTCGTTCTTTCGTTCATGATCCAGATTTCATGACCATAGGTGAGGATAGGAACGTAGACCGACCGGTAAATTGAGAGCTTTGCCCAAAGCATTTAACATTTAAAAAATTATTTGCATAAAACAGCAAAACACTTAAAAAACAGCTCTCTGTGCAGAACCCTCAAGCTCCCGGGCCTCTGGTAGAGGACCCGAGCTTGGAGGAGAAAAAAAAGGGAGACCACCCATGGTGGGTGAGGAAGAGTTTTGTTTTTTATTATTAAAATATCATCAATATTGTCTGTACAGTTTGAACTAACATAAACAGCTGACCCCATTTATAGGTGTCACATGAGGTTGTGAAAAAGAGAGGAGATGCACAGATTTTAAAAGCAGATGAAATCATCAATGAAGTGAAGGCAAAATAAGCCATGAAATGATGTTAGAGGATTTTTAGGTGCAGTCGAATCAGATAAATATCCTAAAGAGCCGTATGTTACCATGACACTCTCATTCACTGTCAGTAAACCTCAATCGTTAGTCTGTAGAGGATTAAAACAGAAACTGATTCAGGAGTTTAGCTGTTAATTTAACCTGCTAAATACAGCTTGCTATACACACAAAATAAAAATAAAAAAGCTTTTGAAATCTTAACAAATATAGATCAATTCCCATTTGCAGTTTAAATCGAGGGCATTGTGGTAAATTTGTGAGTCTCTCTCTCTGTTGGGGTTATGTACTGCATTCATGCAGAGCTATAAGTTGACAGCTGTTTTCTTATCTTTGCAGTTCGAGAAAAGCGAAAAAGCCTTTACATCAACCATGTAAGTAAAACCAAAAAAAAAAAACACATTGGTTTGAATTTCTCTTTGAATTGTGAAAATTTATAATTTGACTATATTGTTTGTTTTGCAAGTTTACACACATTTCGGAAAGCAAGGTAAAAAAAAAAGACGACCATCCAGCTGTCTTGTATATGTCTGTTTCACAGATCCCACCACCATTTTAATCACATCATTTGATACCCTGTCCACGGTTTTGTTTGGTTTCTGTCTGTCATCTTATAGAAACTGAGATTTTATTTTTGGTGCAGTTCATCTTAAACTTTCTCCAAGCATAGATGCAATTTAGAGTTGATATTTTGAATTTTCTTTTATAATTACATAAGATCTGTTAAGGTGAACTATATTATAAGCCTACGAGCCTGAATAAAAATGTAATTTAAAAAATGTAAACAGGAAATTACATTTTTATTCTTCCTTAAAGATGGACTCCACTATGAATATAAATATTGCATGGAGATGTTAAAGCACTGAAAGGGACTTTCTGTTATGGCTGCACTTCCCTCTATCTGTGTTACAAGGCCATTATGTGCTCCTAGTATAGTAATAAAGATGTTGATCAATCTAAATGAATGTGTTTGTGTCTTTATACGTGCTGCAGCATCATTCAGGCCCACTGAGACGAAAATACAGCTCCTGTTCCACCATATTTCTGGATGACAGCACAGTCAGCCAGCCCAACCTCAAATACACCATCAAATGGTAATTAACCTTATCGCTAGAGCTATCCTCTCTTTAACTGAGAAATATCTGGTGATGTGTCCTTGTTTTAAGTTAATATCCTCTTATATTTGTCTTTTTTGTCTTGTACAGTGTAGCTCTGGCAATCTACTACCACATAAAAAACAGGTTTGGAAAGTATTTTACATTTTTCTACTTTTCTTAGACAGCTTTTTACAGCTTTCAGACCGTAAATGACACTTAGCAGTAAAATGAATATTTCCATTTCATAAAGTGCAGCAGTGATCAAATGTAAAGAGTGTGGTCAGGGTTTCCGCGGGTATTTCCGTTTACCCCAGAGAATGGGTCACCACATTTCTTCAGATGCGGGATGCAGTGGCTGTTTAAAAGAATGTAATGGGGAGTAGAAGCAGCTCACTTTCCTTTGTCAAAATGTTTACTAATAACCGTTCGCCATTCAGACAACGTCGCTTGCTCTTGCTAGTTTTTATTCAACGTCATGTCATTTGTCATTGAACTAGCTTTATGCTACGTTCAGACCGCAGGCAGCAAGAGCAGCAAAAACGCGTGTGCTGCTTCATTTTTGATGCTTGTACAAGTTTAGTTCTGACACGAGGCTGAATCATCTTTGATGCTCTGGCTGCAGGGTGGAAAAGGTGGGTCTGATGTGGTGGGCAGAGCTACCCTATCCTTTCTTTGCCTGTAACAATGGCAGCTATATTTGCAGTGATCAGTGGGTAAAAAGTAGTTTTGATATGTTTTGAAGTGAGAAAGTCCACATGAAACCTTAATCTGTGCAGTCAGTTCATCCAGATTAAAGGAATAGTACACCCAAAACATGATTAGCCTTCATTTTCTACTCACCCCCATGCTGAACAACACTCTGGAGTACTTTTTTGATATCTCAAATGCATCTGGAGATCTGGGAGGCTTCTTGCTGTCTGCTGACATTCAAATAATGGAGGTCTATGGTGCCCGAGGCAGAAAGGTCCATAAAAGTCCACAAAAAACGTGTCAATATTCCTCCATACTGCTCGTCCAATGTATTCCAAGTGTCCTGAGTGGGTAGCATCCAGAATTTACTCGAAACGAAGTCATTTAGAATGTTTTTAGAGCATAAACAGTAGTGTATCTTGTTTAAAAATAGCGCAAAGACTCATTTATTTAATTTATTTCTTTCAATCTCTTCCTCTTCTATGATAGTTTTCTTTAAGGTTTCATGGATTCAAAGTTTTCTAGCTCGAGTTGAAATATTCAAAGCAAGAATCTAGTAAAAATAAACTTTTCTATCTGAAGGATGAAAAAAGTGATAATGTAGCTTCAGAGATCAAATACTATGAAGAATGTGGAAGGAATATTATCTAAGGAGATGAAAGTAAGCTTGTATGTCCTGTAATTAATTAATTGCAGTTAATAATATTCTAATCGAATGACTTTGATCGACAAAGCAACCTTTTTAACGTTAAAGCTCTATTAGTTCCTAAATAAATGAATAAACACAAGAGAACAGCAACAGTAATATATATTTTTGTTTAATCCATTATTAAGGTAATCAGATTGTTTTAGTTATAATTTATAAAATCATTTAGCCTTTTTTAAGACACGTCTTTTATTCAACTTATTTGAAACAAATGAGTATTAATTATAACAGAATTTCTTCCATTAAATGTAGGTAAAAAAATATAGGAACAAGGCATCTATTACTGCTTTAAAGGAGATAAAGTTCTGTTTTAAAACGGATAACAAAGCTATGAGAGGAGAAAGCAATGTCTTTAACCTTTGCTACTCAACATACAGCATTTAGTGCAAATAAAATATATACACTGCTGAAGCTATGTTGTCTCTTTAAGCTTGTTACAAAACAAACACTCCATGTTGCAATCTGTTTCACCAGATAGTTGATCAGTTTTTCCAGACATGGACTTATTTATTGAATTGCGCTGCTTAAGGTGACTGCATGTTGGAATAGATCTGCCAGCTTGACTGATATTCTTCTTTACATCCTTTAGTTTCTCTGTTTTCTGATTTATTTTTTCTGGGGTTTTTTTTTTTTTTTTTTTTTTGGCTTTTGGTCTTGAATGCTGTGAAACTGAAAGGATTTTTACTGATTTTCTTCCTTTTTGGATACTTTTTATGATGTGTAACTAGGGGTGTAAATCACACCCATCATAGCGATTCGATTCACTATCAATTTCCCGACCCAACGATTCGATTATTTTCGATACTCAAGAATACACCACGATTCGATTCGATTCGTTTAATTGGGTCATTTTTTTCTTTCTTTTTTTACACCTTACTGGCTAGCTGACCGCAGACAGGAGGCCAGCTTGTTTTGTTTTTATGACCGAAACTGCAGAAAACAACTTTGACCCGCTAGAAGAGCGTGGTTCGCGAGAACGCTGGGACCATTTTTCCACCTGGATCTCCGCTTTTTTTGGCCCTCATGTCCCTCCGTCGCCGGACTAAACTCGCCCCCACTTCTTCGCCGCCTAGGCCGTATCTAGACCCACAGCGTGTAGCACAGACCACGCTTCAATATTGAGCAAAAATCAAAAATGTCTGCATCAAGCTCACTGTAACAAACTGCTGTAAGAGTATAACAAGGAAGCGAGGTAGGAGGGCAAAATAGGTTTAGCGCCACCGCAGCACGGGAGGGAGAATTACGTCCAGGAGCAAATGGATAAAAATAGACCGGAGGAAAAATAAAACATGAATCGATTCTCTTGCGGACGTATCGATGCATCGGATCGTCGGCTTTTGGATCGATGCATCGATACAAAACGATTATTATTATTGACAATATGATTATTGTAAATGGAAATCTCGTAGAAAACCAACTTTTTATGCATTGGACCAGAACGTTACCATTAAAGATCTCAATCAACTGGCGAGTTTTAAGTTCTATTTCTTAACCTCTTACACCCTAAGGGGGTATAAATAAATTTCTGCCTGACAAAAACACACAAAAGTAAATCACTTATAGCCTCACAGCTATTAGATTTAAGAAGAAACTTTTGGTACCTCTGTAAAGGTAAGATGTCATAGAATGGTTTTCTGGTGTCAGCACCATTGTAGTTTTGACCCTGCCTGAAATATTAGGGACAAAATACAAAATATTTAGCATTTTTTGAACCTCGCCAAAATTTTCTTTGAAATAAACATTGCAAAACACTACCAAAATATTATTTATAGCATAAAAAAGTAGTACAGACTTTCAAATCTAAATGTTGTGTAAAAATATACCAAATTTGGACTCAATCAGATGAATCATATTTATTTTAGAATGGTATTAGTGAGAAATTTCTTAGGCGGAGGGGCCATTTTGGCACATTTATCCAAAAATGTCACCAAACTGTGCCAAATGTGTTTTTTACATCAATACTGGGGGTTTGTTAAAATCACGACGTCACGTAGCAGCTGGACCCACCGGTGGGTCCGTAGGGTTCTAGGGGTTAACCTGATGTTTATTCTCTTTTTCTCGTTCCAGGGATGTCGACGGACGAATGTTGTTAGACATTTTTGATGAGAAGCTGCATCCTCTCACGGTATGGCCTCAGCTGCAGACAAACTTCAATTTGGTGCAAACCATTGAGCTGTCAAGATCTATCAGCAAGACAAGCTGCAAATGAATATAAATGAATGAAATATTCAGATCCAGCTGGATCAGTTTCCATCTGATTTATTCCTTAAAAATCCAATGCCACTTTTAAAAGGTGTCTTTTCCATTAAAAAATAATCCCAATGAAAAAAACAGATGAGATGCATAAAGGTTGTTTTTAGACTTAGATTTTATTTGACATTTTGTTTACACATGTGTAAAAGAAAAATAAATTTCGTTTGGAACAGCTCTCTGGACAATTTCATCGTTTTTAAAAGTGCAGCCATGACCTTTTATAGTACTTAACTTTTTTTTTTCTTTTTGCAGAAGTCTGAGGTTCCTGCTGATTATGACAAATACGACCCTGAGCAGAAGCAGATCTACCGCTTCGTCAGGACGCTTTTCAGCGCTGCACAGCTCACCGCTGAGTGTGCTATTGTCACTCTGGTTGGTATATTAATGTGTTTCAGTGAGCCAGAATGTGTGCCGACACCAGGAGGAGTTGTAGCTTTCCAAGTCTGATTAAACAACATCATGTGCTGCCATTTATTCTGGTTTCTCTATTCCTGGACCTCCAACTAAAATACTATTTTTCATTTTTTCACAATTGATAAATTGATAAATTTCCCTCGTATCTGACCAGAAACACCTCCTGCTACACTTCAACAATGAACTAGCGGCATTAGTGTCTCTGGAGACCTGGATTTTTTTGGGGTCTATACAACTGTTTAGGGATGGGGGATGAAAGTGGGGGGCCTGTTGTTCCACACCACAGATGCTTAAATGTGTGAACAGTGCCTTTGTTTCTAAGAATAACTGCCATTATAACTCTGGCATCAGTTATCTGACTGCCAGTATCTTTTTCAATCCATGTGGCTGTTCAGAAGAAGTGCGGCTGACGTATGGTCTGCTTCCTCCCTGCCGTCACAGTAAAACCTGCCAGGCTGCAGATGATTGGCTGCTGCTTAGTCCAGCGGAAAGCTTAGAGATGAGAACACAGAGAGAAGCTGTGGATGCTTTCTGCGTGTTGTTATCATTACTCTGTTGGGAAGGAGATTGAACGGTTAATTAAAAGATGGAAAAGAAAGAAAACAAGAGAATCCACAGCTTAGATCTTTAGAAGTGCAGATCAAATACAGGCCATTGATTGACTTTATTGATCTCACAGTGGAGATATTTACTTGAGCCGACGTAACGGGCTGCTGAACGTGCAGAAAATAACATACATATGATAAATAGAGACTAGCTGTGTGTAATTTAAGAATAAATCTTTCCGTAAACGTTTCAAACTGTATAAACCAAGGAACACGATTAGTTGTATACTCCACAAAGATGGCCTTTATGAGAAAAAGGTAATCATGTATGTCTGTCTGCTTTAACCACCTGGCCAGGAGGTAATGAGTAAAGCAACAGTTACCTAACTGGAGGAGCTGCAGTGGTGAAAGCTATCGATGAGTTAGAATGGCCTAGTCAAAGTACACACTGACATACACTGGAAAAAAATCTAAATCTAGATAAGTCATTATTTCTTAAAATAAGAGAATTTTTTTTTTAATTAAGAAGCTAAAAGAGAATTTTGCCAATGGACCAAGACAATGTAGATTTAAAATAAGAAAACACAATTTTCTCTTATTTTAAGAGTAAAAATACTCATTCCATTGGCAAACTACCCCATTTACCTACTCAAATTAAGGGTAAATACACTTAATTTACAAAATTTTAACTTATTTCTATATCGTTTTTCCAGTGTAATATCTGTGTCAAGATCTTAAATTGAGCTTTTTTTGCAAATTAATATGAGACAAATCTTTATTTTTGTTAGTCTAGTAGATTGTACACTCAAAAATTTATAACTGTTATTCTAGTAAATGTATTGATTCAGGGCCCCAAACTCTAATGGACGACATATTTTCTCAAATCAAATCAAACTTGATTTATTTAGCACTTTGCAACAACACCAGCGAGACAGAAAGATAAAAACATTGCGAAAGAAAAAGTAAAATCACAAGCAAAAAACAATGAGTCCTAAGCTAGTTTAAAAAAAAAATTAGTCTTTAATCTGGACTTTTCTGATCTTTTCCATTCACTTTACACCTATGCTTTCTGTTGGTTTAAATTGTAAAACCCTAAAATGAGACGCTATTGTTCGGTTTGTGTTCTTTCCAAACTGGCGTCTAAATCACTGTTTCACACTGGAAAAACTATCTACAGATAAGTACAATTATCTTAAATTAAATGTATTTACCCTTAATTTAAGTAGGTAAATGAGTTTGCCAATTGAATGAGTATTTTTACTCTTAAAATAGGATAATTAGATAACATGCACTTAAAACAAGATAATGCTATTCTGTTTTTTTTATTTTATATGTAAATTGTCTTGTTCATTGGCAAAATGTCTCTTTTACCTCAATCCAAGGACAAATGCACTTATTTAAAGAAACAATGACTTATTAAGATTTTGATTTTTTTCCAGTGCATGGGGACGTTCTTCTGTGGCTCCCTACTGCTGCCATTTGCAAATATTACAGGGTCGGACTAACAACGCCTGCAGGCACAAAACCAGAACCAGCAGGATTTGTCTTAATTAAACACCTGAGCTCTTCTGCCATGCAATATTGTAGTTCTTGTTTTTCCACCCATATGATCATGTTAAAACTCTGAGATTTAGTCTTAGTAAAAAAGGTTTGAATGCATAACATGTAATTTCTCCTTAAGCAAAGAATGCAGCTTTGTTCTGCTTGTACCTTAATTTTAACACATCTTTGGTTCTAACTAAAATGAGCGGACGATCCATTGAATCCTTGCTCTGATAAGGATTAATTGTACAGGTGAGGTCCCTGTGGACCCTTTATGATCTATGTAGCTTCAATTGCCATTGATATTTTATGAGCAGGATACTCGGTTTCATCAGCCTCTGACATCTTTGGGGGAGAGTCAACAGGAGATTAAATGCCGTTGTATCAGGAGATGATTCTGCTAAAACCCCAGAGACTTGTGTGATTTTGAAAATGGAATAAACGTTAACCTAAAAGCTTCCTCTGTTTCAGGTTTATCTGGAGAGGCTTCTCACCTATGCTGAGATTGACATCTGCCCTGCCAATTGGAAGCGTATCGTGTTGGGAGCCATCCTCCTAGCTTCTAAGGTCTGGGACGACCAGGCGGTCTGGAATGTTGACTACTGCCAAATCCTCAAGGATATCACAGTAGAGGACATGTAAGTCACACAAAACAAGCCCAACAAAGTTCGCTGAAATCATTGCAATCCAGAATGGCTGATGGTGCTGGATCAGATGTGCCTCATATTCAAAAGAAATCTTTTTTTTTATTATTATTATTATTAGAACTTTAAAGCTGACATTTTATAACCTTAATTTGTAGCTTCATAATTTTAAAATATTGCAGATGTAAAACAACACACACTGGCCATGGTTGGCTCTAAATAATTCATCTGACTATTTTCTGAATTTTTCCTGAAAGTCAATATATTTTCCTACTCTGACATTCACATTTAGTATAACCACAGACTCTACTGCTTTTTAGTGTTTGGAGTAATGGGTTAGGACAAAGTAGTTTATCATGTGTAATACAGACAAAAATATATATTTTTTGATATTTTTCTGCAAAGATAAATGTTAATGTTAAGTCCAGACTACTTCTCGATTTAATCATTTTATAGAACCACGTTTTGCTGGAGGTCTTTCTCTGTATGTCTCTACTAGCTTTTTAACTATCTATAATCTATGTCCATTCTGTCCTGTAAAATGGCTCATACTAAGTCTGAATTGATGGAAAGCATCTGTGAACAGCACTTTTCAAATGTTACCACGTTTTATTTTAAATTAGATCAGGCCATTAAAAGCTCTTAGCATTTTGCAGCCACCGCCATGTTTTCCTGTCAGGATGAACCATGTCCAGCACCTAAAGAATCCCTTAAGTGTTCGACTCTCTGAATGCTTCTCTGATTAGTGTTTTTATTATTTTAGCTTATTGTTAGTGTTAGCCAGCCGGCCTTGCAGCCATGTTTTCGACAGAGACATGTCATTTACAACCGCTTACAAAACAGTAATTACATAAAATTGTGAATCAAAGTAAAACAGACTTTTACTAAAAGTCTAAATGTTTGTCAAATCTCACAGGGAAAGATGAGGAGCAGTGAGAGTTGATGTGTATATTGGTGGCTGGCTGCAGATGCATGTAGCTGCAGGAGGTTGGGGAATGAAATTAGTTAACAAAGTGCCGGTTAGCAACACCAAACATCTCTAAATCAAACAAACAAACTTCCTCCAAATAATTTTTGACAGTCATTCCCTATTTGCTCCTGGCTAACAGGCTAGTAGTTGTCCATGTCTTCATGGGATCACACATTATGGTTTAAAACAGCGCTCTATGAGATATTCCAAACTTTGGATGCATAATTTTCCTTTCACTCACATAAATCTCCTTTAAAGTACATGGACATTTTTGGCAGTATCATGATATGGGAAAAATAAAACATTTTCAAGGCAACTTCTGTAAATCCATTTTTCAATTTCTTTATTTTTTATTAAAGTAATTCAAACAGACACTACTTACTAGGGGTGTAAATCACATCCATCATGGCGAATTCCTGACCCAAGGATTTGATTATTTTCGATACTCAAGAAAACACCACCATACGATACGATTCCATTCTATTAATTGGTTCTTTTTATTTTATTTTTTTTACACCTTACAGGCTAGAAAATGTTTCAAATTTGAATAAATCAATGAAAGCTGTAATATCGTTATGCATTATTTTTTGAGAAACAACAACAAATAACAGAAGTAGAAAAGTTGCACTCCACCTATACCTATTAAAACCTCATTCACTGAAATATAATAATGCCTCTACGTTATAGATTCTAAAAGGCCTTGCATCAAAAAATACTGCACAAAATCAGTGCAATGAGTGCAATGCAATACCTCGCTGTCAACGTCCCCGCCCCCTCCGCAGACGCTCCGCTGCACCTCTCCCAAAATGCAGCTGACAGCAGACAGTGCCACAGACAGGAGGCAGGCTAGTTTTGTTTTTATGACCGAAATTGCGGAAAACAACTCGTAAAGTTTGACCCGCTAGAAGAGCGAGGTGCGCGAGAACGCTGGGACCCTTTTTCCACCTGGATCTCCGCTCTATTTGGCCCTCATGTCCCTCCGTCGTCGGACTAAACTCGCCCCCACTTCCTCAACGCCTCGGCCGTATCTAGACCCACAGCGTTTAGCGCAGACCACGCTTCAATATTGAGCATAAATCAAAAATGTCTATGTCAAGCTCACTGCAACACACTGCTGTAAGAGTATAACCAGGAAGCGAGGTAGGAGGGCAAAATAGGTTTAGCGCCACCGCAGCACGGGAGGAGAATTACGTTCAGGAGCAAATGGATAAAAATAGACTGGAGGAAAAAAAAACATGAATCGATTCTCTTATGGACGTATCGATGCATCGGATCGTCGGCTGTTGGATCGATGCATCGATACAAAAACGATTATTATTTGCACCCCTACTACTTACACGTTTGCCAAGCTTTTATATGCTACATACTTCCCTAATCTGAAGAAAGCATTGCAGGATTATCCTTAGGGCACAAATGATGCTACAGACATGCTACCCCTGCTGTAACCTCTGACCTCTACACATTCTGCTGAGCCGGTGGAGGTCTATTCTTGTCTTAGCTCTGTGTTGTCAACCAGCGACTGCAATCCACCTGTCTCAGACTGACTCTAGATAACACAGCTCAACATTTGCTTCTGTTGCACTTTAAGATGAGAAATGGCAGATAGATAATTACTCAAACATTCCCTTTGAAAATAAATTTAATGCTGCAAATCCTCCCCTCTGAAACCAAGACGCCTTTCCACTTGCTGACTGCTGGGAAATATGGAGAATTTCGAGCAGGGAAACCCCAAAATAAACAGATTAACATCAGCAGAGAGGGGGCTCAAGTAGAAGACTATAAGCAGCGTTATTAAGCAGAGTTTGGCAATAATGGAGGTTATATTTAGCTGCATGCATAGAAATGTGTGTGGGTGAGGAACAAAGACTAGGAATGAGAGGTGGATGGAAGCAGCAAAGTGAAAAGAATGGGTCACGACTCAGGAGGAACAGATGAAAGCTGCTGCTGTTGCACTGCAGTAGGGATCACAAAGCTGTCAAGCAGCAATTATGCATGACAAAAAACCTTATCCGGAGTTAGGATTAATATTTCTTTTTCCAAACAACAGTCGGAGCTATTGCTTGTACAGCACTTTTCCGTATTTTTAAAAGCTAATGTTCAAGAAATACAGTAAAAGGTGTGTAGACTCAGTTATCAGCTTCTCCCCAGGTCCTCTCCTCTGCATTTGTTTATAGGCAGGCAGCAGAGATAATGAATCATTTAATTTGATTTTTTTGCATCCTCACTAAATGCGTTTCGTTCCCTTTTTCTCCAAAAGGAATGAGCTGGAGCGACAGTTTCTGGAGCTGCTGCAGTTTAACATCAACGTACCATCCAGCGTATATGCCAAGTATTACTTCGACCTGCGCTCCTTGGCCGAGGCCAACAACCTCAGCTTCCCTTTGGAACCGCTCAGCAGAGACAAGGCCCTGAAACTAGAGGTAAGGGGCCGATACAAATATAAAGACCTGAAATCCAGCTTTTTTTTTTTTTTTGAAAAAATATTTTTTATTATTTTTCCAAATAATACAGTGTGGTACGAATGTACATGTGTATTTTTACACTTTTAAACATAAAATACAAAACAGCAGAGTGATTTCAAGAGTATGAGAGGTACAGGTTCTGAAATCCAGTTTTTACCCTGCGTGCATAAATTACCCTGCTTCTGCTACTTAAAAAAGTTTTTTTTATTAACTAATGTGTTAAGTTATTTGAGAATTTGAAATGCACCTATCATAATGTTTCCTCTATTTGCAGATCTGATCAGAATATTCACTGTAGCTTGAGCTCTGATCAATTAATTACCTGAAAGGCAGAGGTGATGGAAGACCGTTCTGCAGCTCAATTTTGTATTTTAATTTTAAACTCTCTTTAGCCTACCTTAAAACTAACGCTGCCGCTGTTTGCCTTAGCAAAAAATGCAGATTTGTAAGTGTAATGTTTTTAAATAAGCCTGTAAGCTCTCTGAATCCATCATGATCCATTACAGAATCCGGTGGAGTGTTGCTGCAGCATTCACAGGGGTAGTGAAAACATGTTTTACATCTTTTCCCTAAATTCTCATCCTTTTTATTGCAGGCCATCTCACGGTTGTGTGATGATCAGTACAAGGACTTGAGGAAACTAGCCAAGAAGCGATCGGTGAGCGCGGACAACCTGATGGTGGTGCGGTGGTGTCCAGCCATCATTTCCTAACACTGGTCATTCTCAGAGGAATAAATAGACATTTGCCATATTGTTGCCTGAAAAGCAGGGAGGCAAGCTGGGCCGCTGACTGTGGACCAGTGGGGCAGTCTGGAATACATACCAACACAAACCTCCACTCAGACTGGAACCTAAACATAAAGAGTTTGCCCTCTCTCTCTCTCTCTGTCTCTCTCTGGCTGTTGTACATAAAAGGTCCAACTAGCTGCTGGAATCAAACCAAACTGAGCTGACAGATGCTGAATGCAGATCTGAGCTGCAGGAGAAAAGCAAGGGAATGGAAATATATTGAGACTGTGAAGATGGAAAAAGTCTAAATTGCAAAACCTACAAGAAACATTTTTCTTTAACACTCCGCCGGTATGTACATCCGATTAATGGATGTTGGTCACATTCCTTCAGTTTAAATCCTCTGGTTTAGGCGTTTCCTTCATTGGATGATGACATCACCGTCTTACATCCCATACTCACATCGCAGTTTATTTTTACAATATCCGCTTATATTTTTACATATGTTTGTACATTCCATTCTTTAGGTGAAAACAGATGCTATTCCTGTTACTAGACCACATATCATCAAAACAAATCTAACTACATAAATCTATCAATATATCATCAAATCTGAATTCAGAGAGGTTAAACCCACTGAGTATAAATAAATCTGCGGCTATTTAGCTGCAGATTTCATCTAAGTACTAATTAGATTTAACTTTACCTCAAGAATCCCGACAGGAAACTGCTAATCCAACCTTGAGGTGCAGAAAACAACAAGCTCTATTAAATAAAGCAATATCCATTTCATCTGTGCCGTTAGCATGAAATATGCTGAGGCATACATGTTTGGGAGAAGACTGCCTTTAAGGCAAATGGGAGACATACTGTAGATGTGATGTGTCCACTGCCATTGTCCTGACCGGCGGTATGTGTAATTAATGCTATTTAAACGCCTTTACCTTCTCTTTTTCAGTAGGAGGAAGAAAAACATAACATTTTTCTGATTCAATATATTTTTATGGCTCTTCCATCTTCAAAAGAAATTGCACAATATAGAATATCAGTCTAAAATATGATTTCTTTTTTGGTCTTAAGACCAAAATGAAAAAAATAAATAAATAAAACATTGTTTTCCAAATAAAAACTGTTCAGAAAATGAGACTGTAATCATTTTCAGAATTTTCTTTGTACAGTGTAAACTGATCGCCAGTGACCTTTAGACAAATGGTATATTGTAAAAAAGAGGATGCAGAATGATGTTAGAAATATTTATAATATCAGTTTTTATGGAGGGGATTATATGTATGGTTTTGTGCTCCTGTGACAAATCAAGCTGAAATAAGTGAAGTATTGAAAATTAAAATGGGAGACACCACTAAAGGTTTTACTTCTCTGCTATGTTAACATTTCAAAGAAATCAGTCACTATTTAATGTTTTATTCTTTAAACGGTGTTTTGATTTCATGAAACACAGTAAAGGTAATTTAATACTTCTTTTCAAATAACTGAATTACACCATGTTTTCAAAATTTAAATATCATTTTTTTATTTTCTGAGCCCCAAAACTGGCAAAAACAGCCATAAAGGTCAACATGTTTCTAAAAGTTTAACTAATAAAAAAAAAAAAGAATGGATTAATGTCCGTTTTTGTTTTGCCTTCACTCTGTAATTTTTTTTCTTTTTTTCTCTCCTTCCTCCTAAACATTTATTTATTTTCTCTATAATCCTTTTTAAATTTCGCCCATGGCTTGCTAACGTATTTCTAATATCCTATATTAATAGTTAATAGCTCATCTTTTTGTTTATGACATTCAAAATCATAGTTCTGTGGATTCAAACACCAATTTGTTTTAGTGCAAATATTCTCTAAACACAGCAAAGTTAGCTGCAAAGTTAGCATTCGTTTTCCGACACTTTCTTGTCTCAGGGTAATATTAGCTGACCTAATTAGTGTGATTTATTTACAATAATGTCACAGTTTGCTGCTTAAAATGCCAGAGATTTTGTTTTTATGTCATCATATAAAGTCATTTACATCCATTTATTTCTAGTCAGATTTCTAAAGCTAGTTGCTGTTAGCTACGTCGCTTTCACATTTTCGCTAGCTAAAATGCTGGTTTTGCTTCACTCTATAGCATTGTTACCAAATTAATCGTTTTTTTTTCTTCTCAACCTAACTAACAAAAGTTGGACTGATGAAAACAGTTTTGTTTTATTCTATTTTGGTTTATTTATACATATTTTTTTTTATTTAGTCATGTTCAGGATTCCTGGGAATTCTAATTTGTTATATTTAAACAGTATTTCCCAAAACACCTTACTTCCTCTAACAAAGAAAACAGAGAATAGGATTTAAAAAAAAATCAAACTAACTATAAATAATGTTGATTATTAGGGAAAACATGTTAGAGAAACATTTTCTTTTCTCATTTTCTTTATACCAGTGGTTGTTTGCCTTATGATCAACTAGACTAATTTCTCCAAGACATCGCTGCAGGCGGACATTTTTATAAAATAATGTGGGAATGCCTTGCAAACTATTTCTGTTGCCTTTTTCTAGTAAAAAAACTTGCATATCATTCAAATTCCCATGTTTTGTGCATTTCATCGGCATCCTTCAGGGCTGTATTTTTCATTGCACTGTTTTATCAAACTGCTAATGAACCAGTCAGTCATTTAGGGCCATCAAGCTGTCCTCCATCAGTGAGAAGGGAAAGAGCTCAACCAAAGTCAAGAAGAAGAAATAAAGCATGATGGTTTCCAGTGTGTTGCTCTGACTCAGTCCACTTGCACATTAGTTAAATAATAAGTCTAACTCTTAAAAAAAGAGTCTATGGGGCTTTGAATGAGTTCAAAATAAAAGTGTGTGTAGGAAAGTGATGTAACTAGAGTTGCTCAAACTGTTTTCAAAGATTGTATCTTGTATTTATTGTATGCGTGTGAACATACCTGATGTTTTCAGCACAGAAAAACTGAGCATCAATGCCATTTGGTCAACTTTGATGAGTTCTAAGGTGGGAAATGTACTATTCTGACAGCGAACCAGCAGCTCGTAGCGCTTCGTTGGTCACTAGATGAGCGTAGCAGCACTGAACTCTACCTCTGCATAGAGTTACTTTTTTTTCTATACTTTCATTCCTCTCTACTACCAATGATTTTTGCATTTGAGCTTCATGCTAACGGTTCACTACTGTATTTGAACTTTTTAAGTTTTTTTGTCTTTTTTTCCCCATTGATGGATTTTTTCTGAGTTGTATTCTGTACTTATGTTTTGTGTATCCCAGTGAGTCTAATTTGTGTTTATTCTTGTTCTCGGTTTGCCAAATAAGTTTTTTTTTTTTTTTTTTTTGGTGTGTGTTCTCAGCTGTGATTTGTGTCTCCATTTTTCTCTGAAGCAATGTTTAGGAAGAAAATGTGGCAAGAATTAAAGTAAACTCTTGCAATACATGGTGAGAGGCTTTATTTTCACTTTTCCTTTACCTCATTTATATCTAACACCACTGGAAAATGATGAGCTAGCTGCAAAACTTTCCATCCATCCATTTTCTAACACACTTAATCCCAAGTGAGGAATGCTGTCAATGGGTGAGAGGCGGGGTCCACCCTGGACAGGTCGCCAGTCCATCGCAGGGCAAAACAGAGACAAACAACCATTTACGCACACACTCACACTTAAGGAGAATTTAGAGAAGCCAATTAACCTAACAGTCATGTTTTTGGCCTGTGGGAGGAAGCCGGAGTATCCGGAGAGAAACCAACATGCAAACTCCATGCAGGAAGACCCCGCGATAGGAATTGAACCCAGAGCCTTCTTGCTGCAAGGCAGCAGTGCTACCCACTGTTACACTGAGCAACTAACATTCCTGAAATAAACTGGTAGCTTTTTTTTCTCCAGCATCTTCGCTGTTTTTTGTCTGCAGTCTTATTTTACGTTTATATAAATAAGATGTTTCTTGCTGCTACTTTACTGCTTTGATGGGGTGATTCAGATCTTGGCATTGAGATGTTCCCATTAAAAGATTATATAAAGACCAAAGCAGCATCAATCACCTATAAGTTATATTGTTTTTAAACGGCAGCTTCCGACTAAGCTGTGTAAAAATGTATGAGTAGAATGGAGATAAACTAAAACTGACAGGTAGAAAGCCTGTATCGATAAGAATCCATAGATAAAATATTAAAAGCCTGTGAAACGTTTTTCATTGGAGCTGCGGAGGCTTTTCTACTATTATATTCCAAAAACACCAATTAAAAACTCTTGGGTCTTATCGGATTAACCTCTGAAAGTGGAATTAACTTTTTTTTTTTTATATTTCCACCATGGCGAACTGGTTTTATAAAGGAATATAAAGAAAACGCAGGTGTTCATCCTGGGGCTAAATGTCGCTGGCATACAAAAATTATATAATGGCAACAAAGTGAAAATAATTAGTAAATTTTTTCATTCTTCATTTAGTTTTTTTTTTATACTTTACGTAATTTTTTTACAGAAGTTTTCAAAAGGTAAAAGAACATAATTGATAAAAAATCAACACAAGATACCGTTCTTGAAAATTGTTTACAAAAAAAAATAACAGCTGACAACCATAATGCATCAGAGACCACATTTGCAAAACCTTATTAAAATAAAAGGTTGTATATATATATATATATATATATATATATATATATATATATATATATATATATATATATATATGTATATATATGTGTGTGTGTGTATCTTAATTTTAGAACTTCCAAAAAAGTAAAAATAAGTTTGAAGACAGGAAGCTTTTTTAGTTCAAAATGTCAGAATTAGCATTGAGTTCGCGGCTTTATAGAGTGAACCAAAAACAAAGCCTTGATTTGGTTTAAAAAACATGCAAATTGAACTGGAAGAACAGGTCCACCCTTTAGGAATAGGGAGTAGTTTTGGTTCTTTGTTAGCCTGCAACACCTGATACTGGTCTATACCTCTGAAATGGGACGAGACGTTCAATAAAGCCTTGACCTCAACACTATTCCTGACTTTAAATTGTATAAAGCTTCCTGGATGGGAAGCTAAACGTCTTCAAACTTGTAAACAAAGTCCAGTGGATTGTTTCTTTTAATTTTTTTTTTTTTTTTTACTTTTTTGGAATGACTATGAACCTGATGAATGAGCTTCACCAGCTTAATTTTAGAATCTTTTAGTTTTATAAATGCACAATACACTTTCAGTTGTTGCTTTTCCCTTTGTATTTATTTTATGCTTAATTCATTTTTATGTTTTTTCTCCATATCAGTTTTCTTTCGTTAGTTTTAGCGAACTGTTATCTCCATGATTGTGAGATGCCTGAAAGGAAATCCAGAAAGCTGCACCTCCTTATCAATGACATTTTCTGCGTCAATTTCTACCCACGGTTTCCTGATTTGATTCCACATCCAATAATGAAAACAAATGAGCTAGAACCACCACCCCAGTTCCTGTAGTGGAAACACCCCTTTAGGACATCAATGTATGTATCATATTGGGTTATTTCCTGTGAGTTACTTCGGGCAATTGGTTATTACAGAAATGACAAGACAACGGCAACAAACTATCACTAAAACTGGGCTAAATGCTTTAAATTGTCCTCAAGATTCCTCTGTGTAGAATGATGAGCTCTGGACAGTTTGGGAATGACTTTTCCTGGAATGATCGGCAGCAACAGTTGCTTCCATTAGATTAGTGCTGCTCTCTATCCTCCAGTGGTGTTGTTTTAACCCCCAGTTTTATTTTCCTTACAGAAAAAAAGTGTAATATGTTGCTGTTTGTCTAAAAATACCATTTCCTTATAGTCCTTTTGATCATGTACACTGAACTTTATTTAATAATGGTCATTACTCCCCATGAAGTAAGTCTAAAAGCTTATTTTAAGCAAAAATGGGTAACAGATGATAAACTTCCTCTCATCTGATTTTATAGATATCTAGGTTTATTCTCTGCACAAACTACAAGAAGCAGCAGTAAATCTTCTCCCTTCGTAAAGTAGCACCAGCTGTGGGAAATGTCAATTTGTAACCTGCTTTAAGTTTACGAGGGAGATTCCTGTGTCTGCATACCTGTATGTCCCAATACTATTTGATGAAGCAGCAAGTTCCCCTAAGATTATGAAGCAGTCAATGGCAGCGTGCTTGTCATTGTCCTCAAGAACTTAATGCCACAGTTTAGAATGAGTAAGCCAGGAGGCTTGTTTGCAAGGATGACCAGCAGCACGAAAATATCTCTGCAATGCCAGGATGGCCATGTGCTCCTGGAAACGTGTTAAGAATAGCCTGACAATAGAGCGTGCTCCTGTCTTCTGTTGTCTGAGGACAGACGGCTGGCTCCACAGGGCAGATGAAGAGGTAAGAGGTAGAGCTCCATTTGGGCTGTCGGACTGTTGGTTTTCATAAAAGTTGGGTCTGGATACGCGCTTCAACCTGTAGAACTACTGTGATCTTTAGAAGGAAAAGAGATGAGTTGAAAGATGTAGAGGGAAGCCTTACCTGCAGGATTTTTTTTAAAACTTAGTAAGAACAAAAGTAGGATAATTTACCAAGTTTAAGCCCAATAAACATGGTGGGATCAAGTGTCTCCGAGATCCTTTTTATCTCTGTCAATCGCAGCATCACTTTGATGGGTGAGTACATTTCTCTTTATGTCCTTTAAGAATCTGTTTTCAGAGTGATATAAGTGATTGGTGTCATCTGATAGGAAAGGTGTGGCTCATTGTGATGATCTTCCTCCGAGTCCTGATCCTCCTCTTCGCCGGTTACCCTCTCTACCGGGACGAGCAGGAGAGGTTCGTCTGTAACACCATCCAACCCGGTTGTGCCAACGTCTGCTACGATCTTTTCTCTCCCGTCTCCCTCTTCCGCTTCTGGCTGTTGCAGCTCGTCACCCTGTGTCTGCCTTACATCATCTTCGTAATCTACGTCATCCATAAGGTGTCCAACGCACTCTCTGCGGCTCTGAACTCAACCGGACACGCCAAAACCTTTCAGCTGTTCAAGCCCCACAGGGAACAGTTTAACCAGATGCGTTTGAACAAGGTGGCTGAGCAGAGAGGAGGGCCGCGGTCCTTCGCTGGAGCCTACATCCTCCATCTGCTGTTCAGGACGCTGCTGGAGGCCGGCTTTGGGGCAGCTCATTATTACATGTTCGGTTTCTACATCCCCAAGAGGTTCCTGTGCCAACATGTTCCATGCACCACCCAGGTGGACTGCTACATCTCCAGACCCACAGAGAAGACAGTGATGATCAACTTCATGCTCGCTGTGGCTGCTCTTTCCCTTTTCCTAAACGTTCTGGATTTCATTTGGGCCATCAAGAGATCACTGAAGCACAGCAAGAGGAGGATGACAGTAGAGAAAATATTTGAGGAGGAACGCTGCTTTCTCTCAGATGGAGTGGAGTCCTCCGGCATGGATGTAAAATCATCTCCTACTCTGCAAAACCTGGAGGCGCAACTTGGGAAAACTGAAAGTTTCCGGAAGAGGCGCGGTAGTAAAACCTCTCGAGGAGGAGAGACATTGTATTCAGGTCAAGAGGCATCTACCCTGGAGCGTTGCTCTCACCCTTCAGGACCTCCATGCTGTAACAGTGGTAACAACGACATCTTGATCTCCCAAGAGGAAGTTCTAGAGAGGAATGGCAGTGAGGTGGCCCTCTGCCCCCAGGAGACTCTGGGGACTCCGAGATCCATAAGAGTCAGCAAACGAAGCCGACTCAAACCTCCACCTCCACCTAGGCTGGACATCAGGCTACCATCTGGGGAGCTGGTACCCCCAGTCAGGGATATTCCCACAAAGACAGCAGTCTATACCAGGGGGGGTCAATATTCCCTGTTTGAACTGGGAAACGGTGTTGAACTTCAAAGCAGTGAAGGTGGGCAGGAGAAAAGGTCTGAGTGGGTTTGAGTTTTTAGGCAATCTCTAAAAAAATGTTAACACATACCATAAAATATAATGAGAGATGCACCAACCAGGGATTTGTAGCTCAGAATGTGATCTCTGATCCCCTGAAAGGGATTTTTAGTCTGTCCAAATTTCTCTTTAGAAATGTGCAGATTGTTAAATGCTGTCGATCCTGCAACAGGGAATCATAATTGGGTGAACTGGGAGCAGACATGTTACACTTATGATATTCCTTTGGGTAAAAGGACTCCAAGAGAGGTGTTTGATGATGATCTGTTGATTGTGGATGGAGGATCCTTTTTCAATCCAAACAAGCCAGCTACAAAACCACCAATATTGCAAAATGTCTAAATAACTGTCGTTACTTGTACCTGATAGTTCTTATGCATGGTTTGTTTACTCAATAAAAAAAAAGGGTCGGATTTTTCCCAGATCCCATTGGTTAGGTTGGTATCAAGCTGCTAATCGATCTATTGACATGCTTTGATATAATCCATCTTGTTGTTGTTTTTGTTTTTATCAATTTCTTGCAGTGCAAAAAAT